TCGATGGCAATTTCCAGAGTCCGGAGCCCTCTCACTTTCAGCCAGCTGATGCTCTTCACTGGTGGTGGCAGCTTCCAAAAGCGTGGTGGAAGAGCTCCGTTTTACAGGCTCTGCGGAACTGTAAATGGTCCCACAGGGCCTTGATCTCTTCCGGGAGCTCATTCCACCAGGATGGGGCCACCACCAAAAAGGCCCTGGCCCTCATCATCGACAGCCTTGCCTCCTTAAGACCCGGAAGGACCAGCCAATTCTGGGCCCCTGACAGCTGTGCTCTCTGGGGAACACGTGGGGAAAGGCGGTCCCTTAGGTATGTAGGTCCCTGACCATGTAGGGCTTTAAAGGTGAGAACCAGCACCTTGAAACGAATCGGGTATGCTATCAGCAGCCAGTGCAATGCCTTTCACACAGGCTGTATGTGCGCCCACCCAGAAAGCCCCATCAAAAGCCTGGCAAGCTGCAGCTTCCGGATATGAGACAAGGGCAGCCCCATGTAGAGAGCATTACAGTAGTCCAATCTCGAGGTGACCATCTCATGGATCACTGTTGCCAGGTCATTGCGTTCGAGGAAGGGAACGAGCTGCCTGATTAGCCGAACGTGGTAAAAGGCTGATTTGGCAGTGGCTGCTACCTGGGCCTCCATGGTTAAGGTGGCATCTAGGAGCACTCCCAAGCTCCTAACCTCTGGCACTGGTACCAATGGTGCTCCATCGAAGGTTGGGAGTGGGATCCCTAACCCCGGCCCACTCTGACTCAGGCGGTTTCAGTTTCAGTCGGCTCAGACTAAACCAACCAGCCATGGCTTGTAACGCCCAGTCCAGATCTTCCAGTTTGGAGTCGGACTGACCGCCCAACAGCAGATAGAGCTGGGCGTCATCCACATACTGGTGACAGCCCAGCCCATGCCTCCGAGCAATCTGGGCAAGGGGGCGCATATAGATGTTGAAGAGCATCGAGGACAGCACCGCCCCTTGAGGCACACCACAATCCAGTGGGTATCTCTAGGATAGCTGTTCCCCTAGTGCCTCCCTTTGTCCCCGACCTTGGAGAAAGGAGGAAAGCCATTGCAAGGCTAGCCCCTGAATTCCCATGTCGGCAAGGCAGCAGATCAGTAGCTGATGGTCGACTATGTCGAACACATCCAGCAGGTCCAACAGCAACAGCACTGCCGATCTGCCTCGATCCAGATGCCTCCAGAGGTCATCCATGAGGTCGACCAGTGCAGTCTCCATCCCATGGCCTGGGCGAAAGCCGGACTGGAAGGGATCTAAAGTGGAAGTGTCATCCAAAATGCCTTGTAGCTGAATCGCCACTGCCCTCTCTATCATCTTGCCCAGATAGGGCAAATTAGAAACCAGTCAATAGTTGGCCAATTCGGCCAGGTCCAAAGATGGCTTTTTTAAGAGGGGGTGGACCACTGCTTCCTTAAGTGCCTTGGGGAACAGTCCCTCCGAGGGGGACTTGTTGATAATCTCCCACAAGGTACCTTGAAATCCCTCATGGCCAGCTTTAATTAGCAAAAAATACAAGGGGGACCAGCAATTCAAAAATGTACAGAAAAATGAAGGAAATTGCTGCAGAGTTCACAAGTAATAAAGAGACAAAAATCAACTTGTTACAAATGACGTTGAGTGATGTTAGTATTCTATATTTTCATGTTTTCAGAACACAGGACGTCAAAAACTGAAGAAGAGCGTACGAACATCTCGAGTGGTTGTTCGTTTCGAGACAACTCTTTCTCAACCAAAATTCAGTTCTCTGGTTGTCTTATTATATTTAGCAGTGATGTCAATCTTATCCAACAACAGTTTTAACAGCACGTGGGCTAACAAGTTTCAAACACGGACAACAAGTCTAGATTTTTGTCTCTTTATTACTTGTGAACTCTGCAGCAATTTCCTTCATTTTTCTGTACAGCTTTAATTAGCCACAAAGGGCATGGATCAAGGGAGCAGGTGGTAGGGCGGACAGTTAGGAGCAATTTATCGACTTCCTCTAGGCCGAGCAGATCAAAATGATCCAGAATTTGACCAGAAGATGTGGATGGAGCAAGCCTAGAGCGATTGTGCAGAGGGCTTCAGGGAGCGATCTCGTTGATGGCTGCCGAGAGTTGGCAATCCCAATCCTCTACAAGCTCATCTAACGAGCCGCCAAGGGGCATCGGATCCCGGAGAGCCACCTGGAACCGCACTGGGTCCATTTGGCTCCGTGGGCAAGCCAAAATGGGCTCACTGCCCAAACAGGGTTGGAGTGACATATTCAGATGAGTCTTCAGAACAAGGTGGTCTGACCAAGGTGGTACTGCCAAAGCAGTAATCTGGTCCACTGTGACCCCCACTGCAAAGACGAAATCAAGCGTGTGCCCAGCCCGATGAGTGGGAGTCGTTACAAATTGGAAGAGTCCTAATGCCGCCATGGATGCAATGCATAGCACTGTTGAGCAACAGGCTATATGTCATAAGCATTTTGCACATGATGCAGAGACAACCCCAAAGTGAGATTCCCAGATCCTCCTCCCCTAGTTTACGCTGTTCCTCAGAGGTCATTTCGGGGGGGATCGTGGGGGAACGCAGTTCTCCCGGGTGAGGTATGGGGGGCGGGGCACATGATGAAGCCCCGCCCCCTGCTTCCGGCCCTCATTCAGCCAGGAGGAGGCAGGAGAAGAGGGAGGGTAAGTTGCTTCCTCCCTGCCTCTCCCCATCCCTGCCTGCCTGGGGCCAGGGAGGACCTTCGCGGGGCTTCCTTGCACTCCCGCCGGCCTTGCAGGTCCACCGCTGGGCCCCTCATGGGGCTTGGCAGTGGAGCTGCAAGGCCGGCACCGGCGGCCAGGACCGTTGGGGGCGGGGTGTGTGGCCTTATGACACATTTCCGGTGATGTCAGGAGGTGTGGCCTTATGACACACTTCCGGTGATGTCAGGGGGTGTGGCATATGCTAATGAGTTATGCTAATGAGTTCCCCTAGCTCTTTTTCTACAAAATGACCCCTGCTGTTCCTTCTCTTTCCACCTAGCCTCATGATCTACTTGTGAGAGAGTGAGTTGTCCCTGGAACCCAAAACAAGAAACAGACGATCAAGGTCAGGTGCTGGTCGCACCAGGAATCCACAGAACAATTTGTCAGGGATTATAGTTTGGCCCCTTGTCCTTTTGTAGAGAAGAGCAAGAGTCCAGTAGCACCTTAAAGATGTACCTGAAGAAGTGAGCAGTGACTCATGAAAGCACACACCCTACCACAAATGTTAAGTCTTTAAGATGCTACTGGACTCTTGCTCTTTTCTATTGCTCCAGCTTCCCATCTTGAACTATCTCCTTTTGTAAAGGTTATTGAATGAAGGACCTGGAGTTAACTGAGAAAGAGTAGCTGGACAAGACTCTTCCAGTCAGGGTTTGGTAACACATCATGTATTTCCTTTTTATTGTAAAAGGAACCAGAAATATTACTTTTGGGACTTAAAATGGAAGAGGTCAATGTGGCGAAAAGGACGCTTATGTGGTATATGGTTGTGACTGCCAGAATGACATATGCGCAAAGTTGGAAACAGGAGGAAGTTCCTGGAATTGGAGAATGGATTAAAAAACTACTTTTTATGGTTGAAATGGATAAGATGACAAGGAAACTGAATAATATGGCAGCAGAAGACTTTTTTGAAGACTGGAAAGACTTAAAAGAATATCTGGAAAAATACTGGGATGTGAGAGACAATTTATTTTGCTTTGATAACTATTGAATATAGAGAATTGTGAAAAAATAAGTTACCTGTAGAATATGTAAAAGATAAAGAGGAGTACTTAAGAGTAACCTAAAGATTATGCAGGAGGTTGTAGCACTGTGGGAAGCCATATATAGGGGGGGGGAAGGGAGGAGGGTAGGATATAAAGGGATAAGAACTGTAATACAAATGTTGAACTTTGTTGAATATATCCTAAAAATAAAATGTTTACCAAAAAAATGTATTTCCTTTTTATTGTTATTTACAATTTCCCCAAGAAATTCATGATTTAGCACATACTATATGCTTAAAATTTCCTACAACTACTTGTTCCAGAGATGAAATATACTTGTTTTTTACAGAATCTTGCTTAAGGGTTTAGCTGCCATGAACTATCATACCTAACAACAGAACTAGGTAAATGTATCCAAATACAAAAATAAATAAATTTGCACACTATTGCTAGCCTTTACAATCCCATTTCCGAAGTGAATTTCCGATTATGTAAAGTGTTAGATATCAGCACTTTATTTTTGACATGTAGATTCACAATGTGTACAGCGTTCATTTGAACTTTTTCTTCCGCGCATGCCTGGCAGCGTGTGACCTTGATCAGGCAGAACGATGTTTGAGTCCAGTGGCACCTTTAAGACCAACAAAGTTTTATTCAAGGTTAAGCTTTCCTGTGCATGCACACTTCAGATACAAGCAAGAGTTGGTTTAGAACTTGATGATCAGGCAGTTATGGCAAAAAGGTGCCCAGCCCAAGGCAGAAAAGAGAGAGCAAGCCTTTCTTCCGGCTCCATCAGAAGTACTGGATTCATCCAGTCCCTTTTGCCCATTCATGAGGGCGCTACTCGATGCGTGTGAACAGGAATGTCAAACGCTGCAAAACCCGATTGAACTGAATGCTAAACAGCACTCTCTCGGACACACCAGAGAAGTGCGCTTTTATTTTGCGAACTGCAAAGGGGCGCTGAAACGATCCCGTTCGGCTCCAGAAGTCCAGCTCCGGGAGCATCTTTCCAGCCGAACGGTATCATCTGAATCCGTCCGTTGCATGCAAAGGTGCGAAAAGATGTCGCCGAAAGGGTCCGGGCGCTTTTGCACCGGGACTCCTGGGACGCGCCCAGCCAGCCAGCCCTCCTCCCAAGCCGCCTTGCTGCGCAAAGCCAAAGCCCCCGCCCAAGCCGAGCTCGCGCAGGAGCGGCAGTGCCAGCCACCGGCAGCGCGCCGAAGCCATCTCCCACCTGATGACGCGCGGTGATGAAAAACAGGAAACGGGATCTTGGGAAAGGCGGAAATTGCAGCAGAAGCGGCGGCCGGAGCAGACGCTGCATCAGGAAGGGGAGCCGCCTGGGGAGCCGGGAAGCGGGCTGGGAGGGAACAAAGTAAGTCGCAGGAGCGTGGCTGCTTTCGCCCTGGCGATTTGTACCTGGCCTCCCCCGAAGGCGGGTCAGGGAAGTCGAGACAGGCCGGTCGGGTCGCATGCGAGGCTCTCTCTGCCAGCCAGCGAGCGGAGGCAGGCGGAGGAGCTGCGAGATTCGTCGCTCTTTGTGGAGGGATTAAAAAGCGGGGCTGGGGCGGGGGGGGGGGGACTGTTCTGGCTTTGATTTGTCTTCCTTCAGCTGCCACTCTGGTGCACCGACTTGGGGCTTCGCCGTTGAGGGTGTCGATAGCTGAAGGTGGGGCTGCGCTTCGACTCGAGGAGCTCCGGTTTTGAGGCTGGGAATGGGCGCCTTGGACACCAGGAAGCCCAGTTAGGGATGGGGTGAAAGGCCACGTTGCAGCCCCGGGTCGGATTGGTCTCCCTTCGCTCCGCTGCTCTTTGTTCTCCCAGTGACGGGGCAGTAGGCCAATGGAGTTTAGTTGTTCTTTCTCCCTTCCCTGCCTGGGACACCCTGCTAAGGAGGGGGCGATTTGACCCTTTGCCTGCTCCCTCACCCGCCACCCGCCTCCCTGCTTCTCTGTGCACAGCGACGGACCCCTAGCCGTTGGGTGCAAGTGCTCGAATGGGCATGTTGAACTCTAGCCACTCTAGTCATTGGAGAGGGCGAAATGGTTAGTTTGGAGTAGAAAAGTGTCGTGTGTGTATGTGATGTCTGCTTGTGGGAAATTATTGTTCGCCAAAGCATTGGGGGAGGGGGTGCTGGACCGTTTCATCACTAAGGCAGGTGACTAGATATGATGGCCATGGGTGTGTCTGTCTGTTTCGTTTTGGGGTTTTTTTTTTTGGTTTTTTTTTGCACTGTGTTTGCTGTCAAAAGGCCCCCAAGTCTTCCGTGTGACGTGGTTGAATCCCCATTTCTTAGCCATGTGCATTGAGGACATGACAGGATCTTGGCTGAGAATTCTGTTGAAATTAAGAATGAATGCTTATTAGCAGTGAGAGATCTGTGAAGCAAGAGTTGGTTTACAACTTGGTGATCATTGCATAATGTGAGAGTGTTTTTTGCATACGTTGGTAGCACCTTTGTCTGCATTCACAGAACACAGCAGAGCTATGTTACGGAAATGTCTCTGGTATCAGTCATGCTTTTTAAGTGTTTTAAATCATGGATAATACCAAAATAGGAATCTTCAAACTACTGCCTTGCACTTTATGTTGCTTGTGTGAATGTAGATGCAGTGTTGATGTGTGTCAGACCTGGTCGATCATAAGGAGAGGACCAACCTTGGAATTCACTCAGGAGTGATGATCTCAATGTGGAAGTGGATGCTGGCTGGAAATAAATTGTAGTTTCTGGAGTTTCTTTCCCTGTGATTTAGAAAAACACATACAGTATTACTCATGGATTACTGCTGTGTGCAGAAGTTTGATTCATTCAGACTAAAATCACCACGGCACTGTATTAGCCATCATTTCAGAATGTGTCCAAGAGATGAAATTGCTTTGTAGCTTGGGTAAGATTTCAGAAGGAAGATGTTGGTTTCTTTGGGAAAGGGCTGTTCATAATTGGTTGTAGACCTATGCAGAGTTTATTTGTACTTTTTCTTCTGATAACTGGTGTAACTAAGTTGAATCCACTTCTTTATCTTTATCCCATTTCTTGTGGGCTGATCCAGAATTGCTCACTGCAGCCGTTCTCTTCCCTTCCTGTGTCCTTGTAGTTGTTTCCATCTGCTCCGTATACTGAAGGTCTCTTACCTGTAGATTGTCCTTATTGACATGTGTGTCGTATGTTCTAAAGGCCTGCTGTTCTACACAATTTCCCAATGCGGCTTTCAGAATAAAATAAAACCACTATAACAAACTTAAGCAGCTATTTAAAATTAAGGTTGATAGCTTTGTCAACTTAAACAGCCAAACCTAAATGAACATAAAAGCTGGGTTTTGGCAAAGGCAGATAGAAATAGAATGGCCCTTATTTGGCAATTAGAAAATACTAATCCAGAGCACCAGGTGAAGATGGGAGCATCCAGAGAAGGGGCCTTTGGCTAATGGTCATTTTGTGGGCAGGTTCATATGGAAAAGGTTCAGTCCTTATATATCTAAGCCAGTATTTTAAAGCCTCGAAATGAATGCTTAGTGAGTCTGGTGCTAACATAATGCTATTCAATTACCAAGCCATGCTTTATAAAAGGAAGCGCCCCATGGACTTACATTCTCCTGTCCTCTTGCACTGCCATTCTCCTTTCAGCTGAGGAGGTAAACCTGGTTAGCATTGTGTCTGCACTAGTGTGATCAGTGCTGTCTCAGAGTTTGCAACCCTGATCCAAAGTGTGATTTGGACTAATTGATTGCTCAAAATGTCAGTGCAGATGTAGTGCTAATCATAATTATCTCCAAAACAAAAAGGGATTTGTGTGTGTGTGTACACGTTCACAAGAGAAGAGCTACCAAACCACATTTTCAGTGTAGCATCTTGTGATGAAAGGACATAAGTTGGATCCTATGGACCGTATGTGCCAGGATGCTCTTCTCCCAGCAGAATCCTGAGAATTCTAAAAAGCTGATGCTCGGAGTCACAGGAGCTCGGTGGAGTAAATTCAGTTGGACACAGAGTTGCTGTGAAGAGGAGGAACTGAGTGGTGTTGTTCCTCCACTGCCCCAGTGTCTTTTTGAAGATGCAAGAGGGGTCTGTCATGAGAGAAGTATGGGCAGTGTTATGCAGTTTCCCTCTCTTCATAGCTTTGCCCACAGGGCTCTGGTGATTCCAAGCATCAGCTTTTCAGAAGTCTTGGAGAGGCTGCTGGGGAAAAGATCTATGGCTGTGACTGTGCCTTTTGCATGCAGTTTGTAGGACCAGCCCCTTGCTAGTTAGCCAGTCTTTCATCAGTCTCCTTAAAATGAACAGGATAATCTGCAGTAGTTTAATGGCTGCTGCTCAGAATTTTTATTGGCTTCTTACCCCACCTTCCATAGCAGCCTGATGCATAGAAATTAAGGTAGTGAAGCTTTTTCTGACATGGGCAAAGCTTCAGTGGCATACTTTCCACATGTCAGGCTCCTGTTAAAGGGACATAAGCAGACTGACTTAAAAACAAAACAAACAAAAAACCTGGCAGCCCTATGATTAATACATGCATCACTGGGAATTTTCAAACCCAAATGAAGGAGGGGTAGTTCCATAGCAAAGTTGCAAAGAGGTATACAGGTCAGCAGATTCTAAATATCCCTGAAGGAGAGATTACTGGCAGAGGTTAATTTAAATTGTTAATGAAATTTATAGAATCCTGTGGGGAGGAGGATTTCTGTACGAAGGGAACCATTTTCCTCCCCTACCGCAGACCTTTAGGAATTACTATGAGCTGTGGATGGCTAGTGTGAAATACTTGCAAGTTGCCTTTGCAACATCATTTCTTGTGCTGGCTGTATTAAAAACACTCTGCATGCTACACACCATCCTCTCCTCTTGAGTGTATGTTGGCTAAAATGTAAAATTCCGTGGTTACTGCTGAATCAGTAGAAAAAAGTAGCCGGAGGTCTCGGTTTGTCTGAGTTCTTTCTCCCTCTTTTTCCAGAAATTGCTGTGTGAGTCAGTGACTCATGAATATGGCATGGATAATGTTCCTCTCCTGCCTAGTCTGAAAGAAATCAGCCAGAACAGCAAACTGTACTGAAAATGTGAAGCTGCTCTGCTGCTAGCCATGCCCTGGGGGAAAATTAGAAGGGTTATGGCTGGAATGGAAAATGCAATGTCTCTTCAGAGCAAGTCTGAAAAGAAACTAAAATGTTGCATGGCAGTTCCAATAATTTATTTTGAGGGTTTCCACTGTCATAGCCATTTATTCAATAATTTGAAGAGAAAAGTATGTGAGGTTTATTGTGCTGAAGTGACACTGGAGATGAGGACCTCTTCAGACTTTTCATGTGGCCAAGCAAGAGCTTTCAGCAGATTGTCCACATGGCTTTAATTGATATTGTAACAACTTTCTGTCTCAGCTGAAGCCCATTTGATGTAAACTATGTTGAACAGCATATGCAGGCTACCTTTTTAGTGACCGTTTTCCACAATCTTAATTCATTGTAATTGTGCAAAGGTTAGCAGTCCAAAATGTGCAAGCCTTCTTTGAACAGTTCTCTCTTGTGGCTAACAATGTGTTTCAAATAAATGAACCAAGCATGTGCATGCTGACTCTTACCAGAAAGAACTTCCGCCTTTCCTTTGAAATGATGCCAGTAACTATTTCTAACTGTTGAATAATGGCAAGAAGATCTGTGAAAAACAAACAAACCTTGAATAGATACTCAGTCTGAGTATTCCGCTTGCAATAATTTAGGATAGGTTAAACTCATAAGTACTGCTATTGTTAGTAGTATCTAACCTCAGTGAAACCAACGACAGAGCTGTCACTGGGCTGAATGGCACAAAATTGAATGTAAATATTTCCCCCTAGTCTGGCAGTATGTTTATTGTAGAACTCGGGCAGTTTTGGCTGTTCTTTAATACACTGAATCCACATGTGAGATACAAATTTCTGTCTGATCTGTGCCTGCTTCTGATGTTTCAGATGTGGAAAGCAACTGCAGGCCACACCCTCTCTGTCAGCCAGGATGATGGTGCTGATGACTGGGAGACAGATCCTGACTTTGTGGTATGGTTCGCTTACTGTATTTAACTGCTAACATTGCTACAGAGTACTAGTATTGACTTGAAGCATTCAAGGGGGAGCAATACAAACAATGCTTAGTCAAAACTTGAGAGACTGTGTGTGTGTATGAGAGAGAGAGAGAACGTGAGAGACTGTGTGTGTGTATGAGAGAAAGAGAGAATAATTCAGGTATTTGGTGGATATTTTTAGCTGAAGGACCTGCCTTTAAGTGCTGATGTGAATGTGAAATTAGTTAAATTCAGTGGTAGAAGAGAAAAAGGGGTTTATGAGCTCAAGGCAAATGAATATGTAAGACATGCTTTATCAGTATTTTGCAGTTACTAAGGACCTTAAAGACCTCTGTCCTCTCCCTGCTCTGTGGTTAACATGTGGCTGTTGTATAACATTTATCTATGTCCTTTACAGAATGATGTCAGTGAAAAAGAACAGCGTTGGGGTGCTAAAACGGTGCAAGGATCTGGTCATCAAGAACACATCAAGTAATCTACTTCTTTAATTGTCTCAAAACTTTAATTTTTGTTCTATGGTGATCGTTCTTGGTACATCGTTTTTCTAGAGATATGATTTACAGGGGTTCTGTACATGCAATAACCTTGGTATTTTAACCAAACGCTTCTAACCAGATTGAAAACCAGGTTCTTGGGTAGACAAGGAACCTAGTTAACTTTAACTGCAGTTAAAGGGGAGGAGGAAGGCTCACTCTGTGAATGAAGCATTTTACCTACCACACCTGCTCCTGGTCTGTTAATCATGGTAATGAGTCCTGGCTCTGTTTATATGTGCACTAGCCCAATGGGTGTCTGTAGCTTTTTACTGGCTAGTAGAGGCCAGACTTGACAATGCCCTATCCCCAAGTCTGCCATGGGGATGTGGTGCCATTTTAGAGATTTTTTTAAAAAAAACTTTTCAAAATGCTGTGGGGGCTTGATCCTGCTGAGAACTGTGGTGTGGGTGGATGAGGAGCTCCTCTGTCTCCACCACCACCACTTTTGGCATTTTGGGGTAGGGGAGATAGGCTCACTTCCTTGCTCCATGCATGGTCCCCGGTGGGATCAGGCTCCTGTGGTGTTCTGGAAAGTTTAAAAACAGTGGAATGGTGTCACATTTCCATGGTGGACTTGAGGGTGTGATATCATCTAGTTTGTCCTCACTTTTTTCCTTTTTGTGGGTGACTTGTTCTTGTCAAGAAGGAAAACAAAACCAAACTTTAACTTCACGAAAGAGAACTCTTCCGGTATAGGAGGGCAAAATTAAAACAGGTCTCTGTAGTACTTTATGCTGGAAGTTCATCTTGGATCTCAGGTTGAGACTGTGAAGTTTCAGGACTACAAAGCCATTGTCGCTAGAGCTAAAAATTGAAAGTATATTGCTAAGAAGACATAACAGCTGAAGAACCAGTTTTTCTACTGTACTTTAGTTGGTATTGTATACTTGAAAACATAGGAAAATTTTGTGGCAGTTACCTTCTCCTAGGGGCATGTGAAAACACTGACATTAAATGTTTCGCCAAGAATAGTCCAGAGTATAAGGTGAGGCACTTGGAGAAAAATACAGATACTATATTCTAAGACTCAGTCCACTGAGGAATGAGATCATAGGGTATTTGGTCACAACATGACTAGGAACCAGTGTGATGCAACTGCAGAGGACACATTCAGTTGTTAGGATGAATAAGGTGAGGTGTTTCTGGGTAGAGTTAGGGGAAAGTGATAAGGGCAGAAAGGTGGGGTATACATTTTGTAAATAGAATAAATAAACTCTTGTATATATAGAACTGGCTGCTCAGGCCCCATGTAGAAAATACCCTGTTTACATTTCCCGTGATATATTGACGTTAGAAACAAATGAAACCAACTAAAAATAGCTCAACTGCAAATAGCTCAACTGGCTAAAAAACCCATGAAATAGCTCAACTGGCTAAAAAACCCATGAAATAAATTGCTGGGGGTGGGAGGAGAACAGTGTTTGTGATCATCATAATCTCCCCCACCTCCTCCTGGGCTGTCGTATCATAAACTGAATTGCTGAGTTCTGGTTTTGTGGTATATCGTCACCTTTAGGAGGTTTTAGCATTGTTCATTGTCTTTAATTTGTATTTGATACTTTTTAATTGGAAAGGGCAGTACATAGACAACCAGAAACAGGATACTGGGTGGTTCTAGACACTACACACCTAGTTAATTATCTCTTATGACTGCCTTTCCTTGCCTCAGTGAGACCTATGTAAGCATCTTATGAATCTGAGATACTCTGTATGAGGACAGGAGAACTGCTGTGAGGAGCTCTAGTGGAGCCTGAAATCATTAGTAGCATACATTTCTTGTGGGCATTTAGTAATTCCTCTCTTGTGTTTCATAGTGTAATTGAAAACATTTTTGAGGTAGAAAAGCACAGAGCTGTATTTTTAGTTCATTTAATCTTTTGATTTTGAAAGCATTCATCAGTTGAGAGAGAATGTGTTCCAAGAGCACCAGTCCCTCAAGGAAAAAGAGCTTCAGACGGGACCAAAAGCTTCCCATGGCTATGGTGGGAAGTTTGGTGTGGAACAAGACCGAATGGACAAGGTAAGTGAGAAGACTCTATGGCTGATCCAGCCTTGTTTGCATTGTCTGCAAGTGTCTTTTGCTATTGCATGTTCTCTTGAAGGGCCATTGTTAAAGAGAAAGATAGTGGGCCAACTGGATATTTGGTCTGGCGAGTCAGCGGTCTGCTTTCATTTTATCCCCTAAGCATAGGCTGGTAATCTTCATTTGGGCCACGTGCTGTTCATCTGTCCTCTCTGCTGGGGAAGTTATTAACATTTTCAGTTCACTTTCTAAATTAAAAGCACACCAAGATTACAGACATGACAGAAGACATTTTAAATACGTTATATATGAGGAATTCTTGAAATAAATATTTCTACTGGCACCATTTTGATTTTTTGAAAGCAGGAACAGTAAACTCTGTAAGAGAATTTTTTGCTCTGTAGCAGTTCCTTAAACACAGACTTAATGAGCTGCAAGTTATCAACCTAATGTTGTTAAGTTTGCAGTTTTCTTTAAAATTACAATATGTGATCCATTATGGATACAGTAAATCTCAGCACGCTGAGCTTCATTGATTTCAGCTGGAGAGAGCTAAGAATAGATTCAAGTGGAATCATTGCAATGTGAACATGATGAATTTTGCCATCTAATGTTCAATATTTGTTTTGTAAAAGTTTTCTGGTGGGTGATTTAGTAGTTGACCAGCATCTCTCTGTAGAGCCTCCTTCATGCAAGGCTCTAGCTGAAGTGATTGCTGCCTCCTGTACAATGTCATAAACCTCCATCCATACTTCTTCAGGCACTCTGTCTATCAAATCTAGTCAAACCTATTGTTCACCTCCACTGTATATTCATCAGTGATATGCTCTGGGTCAAACCTGAATGGCCTAGTGGTTTAAGAACATAAGAACATAAGAGACGCCAATGTTGGATCAGGCCAAAGGCCCATCCAGTCCAACACTCTGTGTCACACAGTGGCCAGAAATACCAGTGCCATCAGGAGGTCCAGCAGTGGGGCCAGGACATTAGAAGCCCTCCCACTGTTGACCCCCCCCCCCCAAGCACCAAGATGACAGAGCATCACTTGCCCCAGAGCCCCTAGCTATACCTTGTGGCTAATAGCCACTGATGGACCTCTGCTCCATATGCTTATCTAATTCCCTTTTGAAGCCGTCCATGCTTGTAGCTCCCACCACTTCCTGTGGCAGTGAATTCCATGTGTTAATCACTCTTTGGGTGAAGAAGTACTTCCTTTTATCCGTTCTAACCCGACCGCTCTGCAGTTTCATGGAGTGCCCACGAGTTCTTGTATTGTGAGAAAGGGAGAAAAGTACCTCTTTCTTTACCTGCTCTTTCCCATGCATAATCTTATAAACCTCGATCATGTCACCCCTCAGTCGTCTTTTCTCCAAGCTAAAGAGCCCTAAGTGCTTTAACCTTTCCTCATAGGGAAAGTGTTCCAACCCTTTTATCATTCGAGTTGGCCTTTTCTGCACTTTTCCCAAAGCTGTAATATCCTTTTTAACAATGCTTTTGTTCAGGATTGTGATTATATTTTCAATACGCATATTAAAGCTGCTACAGAATGCTGTGGAGGTGGGAATTCCCTCAGAATTCTGATTTTTTGGATGGGCCATAGTGGACATGTCCCAGGTTTTGCCCTTTAGAGCTTATTTAAGAATTGAACAGCTCTTGCTGCTCAAGCCTAAGAGGTCTCATTGAACTTCACTCTTTGTGATTAGGCTTAAGGACTGCACAGCTCCCTTCCATATGTTCATGAAACAAGATCACTTGCGTTTCCATATGAATGTACTCCCAGAAGTTAAGAGAAAGTCCTTCTATGTAGTTCAAGAACTTGGTTCTGTGTGTATGGGAAAATCAGATTTCCAACACTAAAAGACCGTTTTCCCCTAAAAGCAGCAACAGTGCATTTCCTTAAGAGTAGCAAAGTTGCCATGGCCTTGACCATTGGAATAAGGCCACTATCTCCTCCTCTAGCATGAATAGACCAGGCCATAATTTGGCCCTAATGCAAATTCAGTTACTGGAACAGGTCTCCATATTTATAAAAGCTATGTTCGTGAACTGTTTCTAGTCCCTTGAAACTATTCTGTATGTGTTAATAATTTATCATGGAAAGGCAAATTCTGTGAATTCTGCATAAGAAACAAAGCTGGGATGCCTGTCTTCTGTTGAAGTGTATAAGCGACCAGGCTCGTGAGGAGTGAGGAGTCAAAAGACTCAATTACTTAAGCAAAATTATGAGATTTCACTTCCTGTATTCTGACTCTCTTTCAGCATTTCTCCACTGGGGCTGAGCTAGACAGATATGTAAAGAGAAAAAAAAGAGTTACTAGGACACCTCCTGTTTCTAACTAGACAGTGACACCATTCCATCAGTAATGAGCCCTTTCCTAAAGGATAGGTAAAAGCGGCTCTGCTTTCTGCTGATGAAGAGGATGGGCTTTACTATTAATCATATGGGGGAAAGGAGTACAATAAAGATTGCAGGAAAGCATTGTGAAATGTGCTAGGTGGCTCCTCTCTGGGGTTCTTTCTGATACAGCCACTGGTTTTGAGTAGGTTGCTGTGGCCCAGCACAGCACGAATTGCTTTGCATTGTGGCACGAATCAAATGGACTCGGACCCTTAAGCATTCATGAAGAAAAGCTGTGCTAATGGATATGGGAGCTTCAGCACAGGGTTAGTGAAGGGGAAAAGCCATATTTCAGACTGATGTTAATAATACACAAAATGTCCCACAAATTTTAAAAAGCACTGCAAGGGCTATCAGTTTGTTCCCATGCTTAATTCAAAGTGCTTCTTGTTACCCAGTACCTTAAGAGACTGTGTACCCAAAAGAACTACCTGCTGGCATGGATTTGCCTTCCATCTAATCTCAGCTTTTGAGGCCCTGCTCCACATCCCCCCACTTTCTTTCTTTCTTTTTTTTAAATCCCTGGAGGAATATTTTTTATTTTGCAAATACTACCAAAACTACAAAGAAATATTAGGGAAGGGACTACAACTAAGGATAAAGGAAAGCAAACCACACTAAACTAAATCTCCAAGAGGAGGAGATCTTTTCACTGATAGTAAAAATGTTAGTACAATTAGTTTTACTATCACAATATACTTGTAGAGTTCTTGGTTTTTTCGCTATTTATATGTTATTTTGTTAGTTGTTATGAGAGAAGTCTCTATCATCTTATTCTTTGCTTCAAAAGGCCATTTTCCAAGTCCTTCTGCCTTTACTTCGGCTCACGTTCATTGTCGGTCAATTTCTGACCGCGCTCAGTTGTCCGCCATTCCGCTCGATCTCCGGCGCTTGTCCCGGTCAGTCCAGCTTGTGCCCAAAGACCACTCAGCGACTGGACCATCGGGGCGGAGGGAAGCCTCAATTCTCTGGCTTTGCGCCGTCGGAGAGGCTACCCCTCAAAAGCCCCCTGGCCTGGAGCCGTATCACAAAGGCTCCGCGGGGGTGTCACTTGAGGTGGCACCCCTCCAGGCCGCTGGTGTGCGATTCGCTCTTCCCCGTTGTGGGGAGAGCATCTGCCATCGCTGTTCTGTAGACCGGAAGTCCGCATCCCCCCACTTTCTGATGGGAGGTCACAGCCAATGTTCCCTCTAAGCTGTGGAGTCTTGTGAGGAAAAATTCTACTTTGTGAGCCACTGGCATTAAAGCTGTGAGCAAGCGATTTGGCTACTGCATAAATCAGTTTTCTCTGGAGCCATCCTTCCTGAGTGAAGACAAAAATGTGTGTGCCGGAGGCTAAAAAACTGTGAGCTAGCTCACACTAACTCAGCTTAGAGGGAACACTGGTCACAGCCATCTCTGTTGTGCTTTGTTGAGGAATGCCCTCCAGACAGACGTTAATAAATTCAGTTTGCAGCATTGGGTTAAAACTTAGCTTCAAAACAAAACAGGGATTTGGTTGATTTGTTGACATTTTTATATTGTACATGTCTTTCTAGTTCTGGTTCTGAATGCTCTGCTGATAATATTTATTGATTATCTGATGTTCCTGGAATTTTAAAGGTTTTGTTGCTGTTTGTAATGGTATACTGATTATTTGTTTTTTAAATTTTTGTTTATTGTAAGCCTCAGGAGCCAAGTATGTTTTTAAGTATGGAATATAAACAGTTATAGAAATATTTTCCCCATCGCATTAACACCAAGTGAACGCTGAACACGGGATTTGAGAAACTAGCTTGTGTGTAGAATAGAAGTCTTTTAAGCTGATAAAATTGGCTGCGCTTTTCTCTAGCATGTTAACATCATACTTTTTACAAATCTGTGATGAAGATTGATTTTATAATCCAGGAACCGTGTAGCATCTGTGGAATGGTCCAGCAGATTTCCTTCCATTTCAGTTAGTTTGGAACAGAAATCTATTCTCCCTTTCTTTTTTCCTATGACTAAACAAGTTAAATCCAGAAATGGTAAAGCAGGCACACTAGCAAAGCTCCTAGATGGTAAAGGATATTGTATGCTTATTCTGTTTCCTCTTTGTGCAGCAACAAAAAATGTGCAGGCCAAATGTGGAGGAAGTTGTTAAGACTTGATAGAGACTTTGAGGAAGGAGGTGTGGCTGGTGGTTTCCTGTAGGATAGCAATATAATATTCCTGGAAGGAGCAGTTGTTAGCTGTGAGCACTTGTGACTGGAAGATGCTTGTGGCTAAAGTAATGTATCATCAGTTACAGTAACTCCCTTTTTTGGTTACTTGTTTTAAATGGAATTTAAATTTTGATCCTGTTGGCTGTACGTAGTGGTAGTGCAGGGATATCCATTCCTCTTGCTGAACTGCATCTCCAGGTTATGTGCAAGAATGTGACCAACAGTATAACTTCTTTTACCATAGTTGATAGCTGTGTTCACATATCTCCAACAAACCAAAGTTTCCTGGTATTTCCAAAGTTGCCTGTAATGGTGTTAGAATTGGCTCTTTTACCAAACCGTAGTTTGCCTTCAAACCTGGATTCTAAATTACTGTTCAATGTTGTCTTATAGTCATGGTTTACAGACAAGTAATGCAAGTACAAGTTTTTAAAGCACCCTCTTCAGATGTTGCAACACGTTGCTGTTTGTTGCAAACTAGGAAGTCTTCGGTCTACAAGTTGCACATGAAGGGAGAAGGGTGTGAGTTCAAGGTGGTCTTTGACTGTTTCTTGGAACAAACTGTTTGGTAATCTCAGTGTTGCCATTGATAGGTAGTTGACCTGGTAACATGCAGACCTCTAGAAGCTGGAAGGCAGTGTGTCTGAAGGATGCTGATATATGTACTTTAATCTCTGTATGTCTGTTTTCAGTCAGCTGTTGGTCATGAATATCAGTCTAAGCTTTCTAAGCACTGTTCCCAAGTGGACTCGGTTAAAGGTTTTGGCGGGAAGTTTGGTGTGCAAGTTGATAGAGTTGACCAGGTAAGTACCTCTTACACTTCTAGAATCGCCATCAGTAGCTGGCTTTGATTTTTAATACAAGTGTGGTAACTGATTAATTTGCAGCGATGTGTAAATATCTTTTGTACTCATTGTCTTCTGCTTTATTTATGTAGTCTTGAAAATAAAGATAAACACAGGCAAGCCTGATTTAGAAAGAGGCTTTGGGGGGGGGGAATCATAAATTGTATGTACTGATTCAAGAATACATTGATCTAATGTAGGTGGCTAGAATGAACATTGTCTGAAACTTGGAATTGTTTTGGATAGCTCTTATGTAATTTAAAGAAAAACCTGAGCCGTTAAATGAATCCTAAATATTCAGACATCTCTGAAACTTGAGAATAATGCGTGTGGGGAATATGTTCTGCTAAATTATTGATTGACTAAGATTTGTAATGCACAACATATGCCTATGTGGTATATGTGTTTTTTATTTTATTTTGTCAACTGCCTCAGGCAGGTTCTTCGAGAGGTGGCATAAAATTTTCTTGATGATAATAATATTAATAATTATACAGTATCTTGAGTATAATGAAGTGATGCATCGTAATAAAGGTGGCTAGTAAACCCTGTAAAGCCAGTTATGATTATTCTTTGTTTAAAAATGTCCTTCTACTCTTATTCTTTCTCCCCCTATTTTTTCCCCCTGCAGTCTGCTGTAGGGTTTGAATACCAGGGGAAAACTGAGAAACATGCTTCTCAGAAAGGTAAAACATTTTGAAGAAAATGTGTGTGGAAATGTTTTTGCACAGGAGTGACTTCCAGCTTTGTTTTAACATGAAGCCTTATGGAACAGTCTTTTACTTAGCACATTGATTAGCAGCTGTTGTGGATGGAATTGGTCATCTCTGTGATAACTGAAGCTACTCCTCCCCCCCCCCCCCCCGGGGGGGAAACCCCGAGATGGTAGATAATACAACATCCCTAACTGGGGAATTTCTTGTTCAAAAGATGCTACCTAATTTTGTTGTTCAGGGCTTAGCTATCAACACTCCTCCAGTCCATCTCTCTGCCCTTTAGAAGGTTGCCACATTCTATGCACATCCTTTGCAACTTGGTAGAGTATCTTCAGGTCCCTGTTTTTTTCCCATTAATGACTAGCTGTTCTGCAGGGAAGAAGCAAGGTCATTTCCATTACTTTTATCTACTTGTAGTTAGTTGCCTTGAGTTTTTATTTTGAAAAAGCAGGATATATATATAAATTTAAAAGTGGTTGATCTGATCCAGACATATAACCTGCAAGGGGAGAAGGAGCGGTCTTCCCTAATTGCTAAACAGCACCCCTAAATATTTACTGGTTATCAGAATTTGTAAAACTGTTAGCATTGATCATACTGCGCAGTAAGGCCACTCAGATCGCTGCCTCATTCTACCTGAGGCAAATACTTTAAAATGGAGTTGTAAGATACCATGATCCATGGAGACTGACTGTGAAGTAATTGGGTACTGTTAGCTTTAGGTCAAACACTAGAGAGCTCAGGCCATTCCAAGGACTTTTGTAGGCCCAGCAGGGCTTTGACGGCATCAGAGACTGCATTTGAAAGTCCTCTGCATTTAAAAAGATGGCTTGCTGTGTGGCACAGAGGTATGCCAAGTCCGGAGCCATGCTGCGTGTATAGAGTTGGTTTAGTAGTTCTCTGTCTGGGTGAACTTATTTTTGACACCAAGTGAAGATAACATCAATTTGTTCCCTTGATGATTTAATCTCTCTAGTCTTACAGAGATATGGGAAAGCAACAGAGGGGTCAGGAGGAGCCAAGGAGGTTGTTAGGGCTTTTTCCTATATAACACCAAGCTCCAATTGGCATTGTTAAAGCATCATGTAAACATCTCCATAGGGAGAAGTTACATGGAGAGTCAGTGTGCACAAATTATGTGTCCACAAGTGATCATGTTCAGCAGTACACCCAGGAAATGTTGTGATCCCCGCATAATGTTTCCACATGGAAACTGGCATAACAGATGTTTTAAAGCCATCTTTTAGATCCGATCACATACATCATAAATGGCCTAAGAGAGGATAGTTTGGTTTGTGCTTGTGCTGTCAGAAACTCAGGTGCTCAGTCCAGACACTGTGAGAGAATCTTAAGCTTTGTTCATCACTGACTCGTTAAATGCAAAACTGTTCAAACAAGTCACTGCTTCTTTTTATCCTGCAGGAATGTTCCTGTAGCTATACTATCACAGTGCCAAATATTTACCCTTTATCATAGTGTGATTACTTTTTCATGCATAATTATGTATATTCAGTATTGCTAAAGAAATTAATGTTTCCTGCTCTTCCTATTACTGTTTGCATTGTAGAGTGACAGCATTCCGTGTTAAGAGATTTTGAGTGTGAAACTGTAGGTGATTGAACCTAAATGCAATAGTGTGGTGATGTGTATCTGTACTTGACTTGTGAGTTAGATGTTGTCAGACAAAGGGCTACCAGTTCTCTTCCTGTTTTAAGGGGCTTTTAGGGGAAGAGTAGAGTATCTGCTTGGTATGCAGAAGGTTCTAGGTTCAATCTTGCCACATCTAGTTAAAAGGGTCACGTTGGAGGTGGTATGAAAGACCTGGGAGACTTGCAGCTTCCAAAGACCTTCAGACCAATGGTTTGATTCGGTATAATGCAGTTCTCCTTCAGTGGGGGGAAGTCATCCAGGAACTGGTTAGGTCACGCCTCTGCTGTGCTACAGCAATTTCTGATAAATTTTATCTTGCTTTGGTTTCTGTCCTCAGACTATGCAAGTGGATTTGGTGGTAAATATGGAGTGCAGGCTGACAGGGTAGACAAGAGTGCAGTGGGATTTGATTACCAAGGAAAAACTGAGAAGCATGAATCACAGAAAGGTTGGTTGCATCACATTGTTGTCTTTTCCTTTTGATCTGGTACACTGTGATAATTTTTAGCACATTCATAAAATTCATAAAAAAATAAAATTTCCATGGGGTCGTGAAGAGTCGGACTCGACTGTGTGACTGAACAACAACAAAAATATCCCTTTCCTCTTAAAGATTCATTTTTGTGTTATTCCATCATTTAATTTGTCTTTTTCATCTTTGTAAAGCTTGTCTTATGCTTTAGCTAATATAGAGGACATTTCCAACCAGAATTTTGGCATTACAAGTATATTAGGTAAAGGTAAAGGTTCCCTTGCTCAAAAGCCAGTCGAATCCGACTCTAGGGTTGCGGTGCTCATCTCCGTTTCAAAGCTGAAGAGCCAGCACTGTCCGAAGACGTTTCCGTGGTCATGTGGCCGGCATGACTAAACACCAAGGCACATGGAACGCTGTTACTTTCCCACTGTAGTGGTACCTATTTCTTGCTTTCAAACTGCTAGGTTGGCAGAAGGCAAGTATATTACAGAGACCTGTTAAGGTGGATACAAAGGAGCCATGATTGGAGCTCTGGTCACAGAACGAATCTTTCCTGTGACAGTCATAAGAACATAAGAGACGCCAATGTTGAATCAGGCCAAAGGCCCATCCAGTCCAACACTCTGTCACACAGTGGCCAGAAATACCAGTGCCATCAGGAGGTCCACCAGTGGGGCCAGGACATTAGAAGCCCTCCCACTGTTGACCTCCCCAAGCACCAAGAAGACAGAGCATCACTTGACCCAGAGTCCCTATCTATACCTTGTGGCTAATAGCCACTGATGGACCTCTGCTCCATATGCCTATCTAATTCCCCTTTGAAGCCATCCATGCTTGTAGCCGCCACCACTTCCTGTGGCAGTGAATTCCATGTGTTAATCACTCTTTGGGTGAAGAAGTACTTCCTTTTATCCGTTCTAACCCGACCTCTTTGCCCACCTCTCATGCTGCTAAGTGTCTGGTGAGCCTTCGATATAGTATAGTGGGGTGATTGCAGGGGGAAAGAGGAATTGGTGGAAATTGCTCCCCTCCCCTTGCATGAGTAGCAGTACCTTTGCATTGAAAGGGGTTGGGGGGTACATACGCCTCACAGAGATCTGACTTCTGGTGGCAACACTGTGCAAAAGCGTCGACAAAAGATTGTTTTCATTAGATTAGTAATATGCCGTGTCTAGCAGCCTTCTAAAGATTAATAGCTCATGTTGCTGTTGTAACCCTGGCTCTGAGTGGATTTATTTCCTTATTTAAGGTATTTTTATGGTGTTGTCGAAGGCTTCCATGGCCGAAGTTCATTAGCTGTTGTAGATTTTCCGGGTTGTCTGGCCGTGGTCTTGGTATTGTAGGACCTGATGTTTCGCCAGTGGCTGTGACGTGAATTCCATGTGTTAATCACTCTTTGGGTGAAGAAGTACTTCCTTTTATCCGTTCTAACCCGACCTCTTTGCCCACCTCTCATGCTGCTAAGTGTCTGGTGAGCCTTCGATATAGTATAGTGGGGTGATTGCAGGGGGAAAGAGGAATTGGTGGAAATTGCTCCCCTCCCCTTGCATGAGTAGCAGTACCTTTGCATTGAAAGGGGTTGGGGGGTACATACGCCTCACAGAGATCTGACTTCTGGTGGCAACACTGTGCAAAAGCGTCGACAAAAGATTGTTTTCATTAGATTAGTAATATGCCGTGTCTAGCAGCCTTCTAAAGATTAATAGCTCATGTTGCTGTTGTAACCCTGGCTCTGAGTGGATTTATTTCCTTATTTAAGGTATTTTTATGGTGTTGTCGAAGGCTTCCATGGCCGAAGTTCATTAGCTGTTGTAGATTTTCCGGGTTGTCTGGCCGTGGTCTTGGTATTGTAGGACCTGATGTTTCGCCAGTGGCTGTGACTGGCATCCTCAGAGGTATTACACAGAAAGGCACAAGCATGCACACACACTCACACACTGCTACTTCAAGAAGTCCATAGCTTTTTTTTTAGAACAGACACATGTCAGTCAGTGATTTACTGTATTGCTGACCAGCAGCAACCTCATTTTTATATGGCCAGCGCTTCAACGTGTTGAACCTAACATGTTACTGCATCTAATGATCTAATCAGCACATCACTGTTCTTCACCAGGGTCAGATAAAAAGGATAAATTGAGTTGAGATGTCATCAGTATGTGGATGACACTCTGTTCTCTGCATGGGGCAGGATTGACTTATCCCACTAGGTATCTCTGGGCCTTACATCTCTTTGTTTTGCATCTTGGTTTCTATGGCCAATAGAAATTGTTTCTTAATCCATAATGGTTTCCTTTGAAAAATACAAAGATCTTTAAATTTGCTGTGGTCTGAGAGTGCTAAATGGAAATAAGAATCACCAGTGATAAAAAGAAACGCATTGGCAAAATCAGGTGAGAAACTCTGGTATTAAAGAAGGAACAGTAAACACACGCTTGTCGCATCACAAGCTTCCGGACCATTCCACATTCCAAACCTTCTAGAGAGCTTTTAGTAGAGCTCAAACAAAAAATGCAATATGGATTAGCTTTAGAGAGGACATTTTTTTCCTGCTTCTAAGGGAGACGAAGTTTTCCTTGTATAGATGTCTTTGTTCTAAATTCTATTTACAGTATCTATACTTTGACTGAAGGGTCTTTGTTCTGGCATGCTTTGTGAACCTCTATGGATCTTGCTGTCTTCTGTCTCAATGCACTGAAAGTGCTCTTCTATTAAATTGGGGTCACTTTCTCTGCTTTTGGTCATGCAAAGGATAGTAGTTCGTTGAACCCCAAGAGCCATGGTCCTCAAGAAGAGTTGTTTGTTGGTACTGTGCTCATTTTCAGATTGTAGAACAGTTGTCCTTGTTACAGTTTTCATCCCAGTTACACATACTCCACAACTTTTTAAAAAATACAGTTTGTATTTAGTGCTTTGTAATCATTTAGAATGTTGTAATCACTGCAGTGGATCAAATATAACTGGTTTCCCCCGCCTCGAATATTTCAGTTTATAACTTGGCACTAAATGTTTAATTGTCTCTGTTGAACATGCTATGGTACAAGTGATTCCCAGTCAGAAGAAAACTTTGGTGACTTTGATCTCTGATGGATGCAAGTCATCCCTTGAGCTTTTAGTCAGAGTGATGAACATGCGTGTATGATCTAACTCCTCTAGTGGCTAGAAATAGTCAAATGTCTTACCCTGTGCTATTATGAATATTATTTTTTTTACTTCTGTCTCCAGATTATTCCAAAGGTTTTGGTGGTAAATATGGTGTTGACAAGGACAAAGTGGACAAAAGTGCTGTTGGCTTTGAGTACCAAGGCAAAACTGAAAAACATGAATCGCAGAAAGGTTTTTAAATTTTAATTTTATTCAGTCAAGTTATCTGAGTAATCTTTAAATATGTCACTATAACTGAGGCATTAAACTCTGGATTTTGGAAGATCTTCCTTGCTTTCAAAAAAAGTCTTCCAACTTGAAGTTGCCCATCATATCCTAAATTGGTGGCTAAGGAACAGTCTCTGTGGTAGTAGGGAGCTCTATTGAAGCATCAGGCTATAAAATTAACTTCACAGCACATCATGTCCTCCTTACCCTGTACAGTTGTCAAACTGACACTATCTTGTGTCCAGTAGAAAAGATGCATACTTGATAGTTGCTGCTGTGGCAGGGGGTTACCACTCTTTTTTGTCTAATGTAAACAACTGTCCACAAAAACCAGTGCTGCATTGGTCATGTATTATTTAAAATAATCTGGCTTCCTTGGCCTTCTGGATAGCTGCTTCTAATACAATCAGGTGGATGCGCCTTTCCATGGAGCTCACTGGTTTCAACCACGCAATTCCAAAAACACACTCAACCCAAAATAGTCTTGCAATAGCATGGTTTAATATGGCCAAATTGTATGGGAATTTATAAAGCACCATGAGCCTTGTGCATAACTCACGGGCTTAGCAGCTACCATTCTTGTAAACTGCTGCTTTGTATAAATTGGGGCGTTGAGAATTACTGAGATGCATACAGCATGATATTGAAGGATATATGGAGGCAAGTGGCAGGGTAGAAATGGCAAAATAAATAAACTGAAAACCTTGCTTCCTTGGGCAGCTGTTCCGCTGAATTCAGTGGAACTTAGCAAGTGTACTGAAGATTTCAGCCTTGGTGTAGTAAATTTTTCCTACTTTTCTGTTGAGTCCTTCTAACGTTTCTACTTGCATTTTGCAAGGGAGTATGGACTTCTTAGCTGTATTGTTTTCTCTTGTAGAACTAAAGTGGTTCCAGAAACACTTGCACTTTAACTGCTTAAAAATTTCAGAGATCAAAATGAGATCTCAGCAACCATTTTTGGAATTTTTTGTATGCAGACTACACGAGAGGTTTTGGTGGAAAGTTTGGGGTACAGACAGACAGACAAGACAAGTGTGCACTCGGCTGGGACCATCAGGAGAAAGTACAGCTGCACGAATCTCAGAAAGGTACGTGTTTATGCTTGATGTCAACTGACACATAATGCGGATAAGTTAGAATGTGATAACGATGTGGTTGGTATCGATTCTAGAAGCAGGGTATATGATTGTTTTGAGGTGGGTAAGTCAAAACCTTTACTTAAAAAAAGCAAGTCCCCGATAAATAGGATGACTGTGAAACTAACGTGACGTGTAAGGCCTAGACTCATAGGTCTTCATCAGTGGGAATTGTGTCACTGACTTTCCCCTCCTTCTGGCGGCAGCCCATTGGGGCATGTCACATGCCACCCCAGAGCTCCCAACCCCCCCCCCCCGTCTTCTGAGAACTGCAGTGAGTTAGGAGAGATGACCTGCACTTCTCTTCCTGTTGCGTCTTCAGAATGTGTGAGGCCACCAAGCAGTGCTTGTAATGCTTGCCTTTTTCTGCTGTCTTTGCCTTTTGAATAAGTTATATCCACCGCTAACATAACTCAGCCAAAGAGTTAATTTACAAGCAAGTCAACTCAGCGATTTTCAGACAAGTTCACTCTGTGTTCTCTACTCATTACTGTGGGTATTCCCCACTCATAGTATTTATTACTAGGGATTGTACTTGGATGTTCTCTACTTATCTCCTATGCCAGTGCAAGTGGTATATTGTGGTAAAGCAGTTGTTACAGTAATGTTGTCATGAGTTAGAAGATGAGCTAGAACATAAGAAGAGTCCAATCTCTCACAGAAGCCAACGACAGAGCATAGTTCAGGGCCTTCTCCCTGATGTTGCTTCCTGCCACTCTGAATGTGGAGGTTCCCTTTAGTCACCATGACTAGTAGCCACTGACAGACCTATCCTCCATGAATCTGGATAATCCAGTTTCAAAGCTGCGTATGTCTGTGGCCATCACTACATCCTCAGGCACCAAATTCCACATTTTAATCACCCATTGAGTAAATAAATGTTTTGAATGTGGAGGTTCCCTTTAGTCACCATGACTAGTAGCCACTGACAGACCTATCCTCCATGAATCTGAATAATCCAGTTTCAAAGCTGCGTATGGCTGTGGCCATCACTGCATCCTCAGGCACCAAATTCCACATTTTAATCACCCATTGAGTAAAACCGCCATGAGCCTGCTCGCAGGATGGGCGGGGTATAAATATAATAAAATAAATAATAAATAAATGTTTTCATTTGTCTGTCCTGAACCTACTGCCTATCAATGTCATTGGATGTCCTGAGTTCTGATATTTTGGGAGTGGGAGAAAAAGTTCTGTCTACTCTTTTTACCCCATGCAAACCTTTGTGATGTCCCAGACTCTTCAGCCTTTTCTCATAGGGAAGGTGCTCCAACCCTCTTGATTGCTCTCTCCTGTACTTTCTCCAGCTGTGCAATGTCCTTTTTGAGATACAGTGATGAGAACTGCACACAATTTTCCACGAAGATGCACCATAGAGCTATATAATGGCATTATAATATTGGCTGTTTTGTTTTCTATCCTTTTCCTAATCCCTAGCAGAGTTTGCCTTTTGCACTGCTGCAGCACACTGGGTTGACACTTTTATTGAACTATCCACTATGACCCCTAGGTCTGTGGCTCGAGTGGTTAAGATGCTGAACTGCAGGCTGTGAAAGGTCGGTAGTTCAGCAGTTCGAGACCCGAGTGTGCCGCAAGACGGAGTGAGCTCCCGTCTCTAGTTCCAGCTCCTGCCAACCTAGCAGTTTGAAAGCAAGAAATTGCAAGTAGATAAATAGGTACCACTTCGGTGGGAAGGTAACAGCGTTCCGTGCGCCTTGGTGTTTAGTCATGCCGGCCACATGACCACAGAAACGTCTTCGGACAGCGCTGGCTCTTCGGCTTTGAAACGGAGATGAGCACCGCAACCCTAGAGTTGGATTCGACTGGCTTTCGAGCAAGGGAACCTTTACCTTTACCTTAAGTTAGGTCAGCACATAGTTGGAAGCATGCCCAGCAGCACTGAAACATGGTAAAAACCCTAATGTAGATAGGATGTTAACTGTAGTGGGAATGAATTGCTTTTCCTATTATGCCTATTCCTCTTACATTCTTGGATAAGTGTGAGTATATGTATATTGTTATACTTGTGTTTTAAAACACTGTTTTGCAACCGGGAGCCTTGTGAAGTAGGGCTAGGGTAAAGAGAACTGGTCGTGACGGTTGTGAATATTCTTTTGGTTCTCAGAGTGAATCTGCAAAGTCACACTGCACTCTTAGGCAGTATACACATCCAGTGGATTCTCCCCATGTCAAAATTACTTGTGGACAGCTAGTTTGGCAATGGAGGGTTCTAGCTCAGCCTTCTCATCGTTTTGAATATACATAATATGATCTTGGAGGAGAAGGAGGAAGGAGATTCAGAGATGTGACTTCTCCCGGCTGAAGTAGTAAGATCCAGGAAGGACTGCTACCTAGAACCCAAGCATGGAAGGGAAAATAAGTACACTTTGCTGTGTCCAGTGTGGCCCAACCTATTCCTGGGGTACGGTCTGTCGTTTCAGAAATAGAATAGGGATGTTTCTTGACTGTTTGCATTGGGGGGGTTAAGGGGGTCATGATGGTGGCTTATAAGCTTACACTGGACCCAGAGGAAAGATCCTTGGGCCATGGCTTTATCATATAAATATTTGTTTGTATAGTTTGATTCTTAATCCAAGTCCTTTGTTATGTATGATATGTAAATGTATGTATTTAAATTCTTTCCTACCCAGTGATTTTTAATATTGCTGTTTAGAGCATTTGTTTTTGGCGTGTGTATTTTGTATCTAAATATGTTCCTCTCTCTTTTCCTTCCTTTCTCTCTTGGTTCCCTTTCTTTATTATGCCCTGGCTTTCTCAGACTATAAGAGTGGTTTCGGAGGGAAATTCGGTGTTCAAACAGAGAGGCAGGACCCATCTGCTGTGGGGTTTGACTACAAGGAGAAACTAGCGAAGCACGAGTCTCAACAAGGCATAGTCTCCAGTTGTAACTCTTCCTCAGTGCAGCCACTTCTAACACAGGCTTAAATTGCTTCCTTTGAAAGGTTATTTGGCCAGCACACGCCACAGGAAGCCCAAGGCAACACTTCTTCTCATTTGAATTGACATCTTTGATTGAAGTTGAGTAGTATCAGGGATGGCCAACCTTTTTTTGATGAGAAATAATCACTCTCCTATGGGCTAATGTCTCTGCCATAAGCAAGCCAGTGGGCTTTGCGGCTCCTATCCGGGAGTGCTTCTTGGCACCCTTTGTTTCAGCAGCTGAGTTGAGGTTTTGATTTCTTTAGCCATTTTTAAGAAGTTAAAATGTTAGGTGTTCGGTATGGTCAACACCAATGTTCCCTCTAAGCTGTGAGCAAAAGTTCAACTTTGTGAGCTACTGGCATTAAAGTTGTGAGCGAGCCGATTTGGCTACTGCATAAATTAGTTTGCTCTGGAGACATCCCTTCCTGAGCCAAGACAACAATGTGTGAGCTGGAGGCTAAACAACTGTGAGCTAGCTCACACTAACTCAGCTTAGAGGGAACACTGGCCAACACATGTTTTGTTAGTGTTTAAAAAGGGGGAAAAGACCTTGGGTTTGATCCAAACTTCTGCAAATAGAGTGAGAGTCCATAATTACTTTTCGCAGCCTTCCTTGTCTCTTATCATCCCCCCCCTTGCAAGAATGCTACAATGGGGGGGCTTCAGTTGGTTTCTCCATCTTGCCACAGTCCCCCCCCCCAAGGGCTTCAGGACGTATTATTCTGTAAGGATATTGAATCCTTAGAATTGAGGAAAGAAGGTGCTAAACGTGCTCCATTTGTGAATGACTTTAATCCAGCCCTCTCTTCAAACATAGATGCTGAAACTGCATAAAGACCGCATCATGTGATGCGGTGCTGATCACCCGCTGTGCAACGGATCTTTCCAAGGTCTTACTTGTTTTGCCTTTTTTGAAAGAGAGGTTGCAGTTGCAGTAGTTGATAACCAAGAAAGCCCCCTGTGCTGCTTCTGATGGAGTCTATAACTTGAGGTGGCAGTTAAGGCTGCTACTTTAAAAAAAGTTATAAAGTGGTTACTACTTCATGCAGTCTGTCAGTTGATATTAGAATGGGGGAATGCAGCATCCATTTGAATATTAGGTCGAGATCCCTTGATCCAGTTTTTGTTTTCTTGCCACAAATAGGAGTTCTTACATCTCTACGTAGAATCTCCCCCCCCTTGAAAATAAGACAAAGTAACCATGAGGGGAAAACGAAGTCAGAAGGGAACATTTAAAATTTATGTCTACTCTGTGTGTGTCTTTTAGGAACTTGTCTATCTTGCAATTCATTGTGCAGCCGTTGGCCAATATATGTGTCTTTTGGGGTAAACCCTACATGCTGTGGACAGTGTATGGAAGGCGTCTGTTGCCTTCCCCTTCCTGCTGTAATTCTCATGCTTCTTACCATAGCTTCCTTCTTGCATCCTAAGTGGTTCCCAAGGGTCCTTGATCCTTAGAGAGTGTCTTTGGTGGCACAGGAGGCTGCAGTGGGAAGGAAGCAAAAAACCCTTTTGCAAGCTCTCTCTGTTTTCAGTGTGTAAGATCCAGCCCTGTGTTTTTATATCTGTTTGAGGTAGTTGTTCTTGAAATGGATAAATTCAGGAAGTGGTGTGTGATGCCCTAAAATTTAAGTGCCTCTGAGAATACAATATTATGATTTACAAAATCCATAACAAAGTGGAGGAGTAATCCAAGGCTGTGCTATAGAAGTGGTATGTAACGGGGATTGTGGGAGCTGGGAGAGATCACCTTTTCCTTTGCTTGGTTGCTGACAAACATCCATTTACTTTCAACCAATCAATGTGGAAGCATGACTATGGCCCAGTATCTCTTGCGCACCTGCTGATGTTCCTCTTGATGCCTTAAAATGTATATGTATTTGTTTTGCATCTAATTTATTTTGCATTTTCCCTTGGCCATAATCACTAGGAACTCCATGCATGCAGCTCCTTTTAGTAGCTCTCAGTATTTGGTAAAAACTGAGAGTTGATAACCACCCTCAGTAAACCTTTTGTCTTAATTTTAGACTATTCTAAAGGATTTGGTGGAAAGTATGGTGTGCAGAAAGATCGAATGGACAAGGTATGACCTTAATTTGAAGTCTGGTTATGGGTTTAAAACGTTAATATAATTCTGCTCTTAGAAATGACCCTCATCTTTGAATCCACCTTCTTTACTGCAACACACTGACCCAAGTGGCTGTTGCTCCATGTAGGTCTTGTGAGCCTGGGAATCAAATTTTCCAGGGTCAGGAAGGCTGCTGGGGGTGAGGAAAGTGGGGAAACATCTGTGATAAGTTAGCACCTTCCACTGACAGATTTCTGGATCCAACCCATTACTTTGTCCAACTCCATAATGGATTTTTGTTTGTTATATGAACTGGATAGATCAAGTCAGTACCTGCTATTTGATTGTTTCTTGGCAAGGCAGGGAAAGGGCTGCTTGTCCCTTAGCCCTGCTGCAGTCAGGGCTACTCCTATTGGCTGCCTGGTACAACTGCGTTTGTTCCCTGTAGCAGTTGACCAGTACTGTGTCTGGAGGACAGCAGTCTCTCTCCTTGTTGTAATTATCATAACACTTTAAAACTATCCGCCAGGTCAAATGCCTAAATCCTTTTTTAAGCAACGCCCTCCCTAACCCAACTCCACTTCCTGCTTTTTGATAGAACGCATCATCTTTTGAAGATATTGAGAAACTGTCATCAACTTATCAGAAGACCAAGCCGGTAGAAGCTGGTAAGATTGTGTTTTGAAGCAATGAGGGTGTATTAATAAATCATGAACAAGTTCTGGTGTAGAGAATTTTTTAAAAGGAAGGGACGGGATAGACCTGCAACCCTCTGAAGTCTCCCCCCAAGCAAATAAAAGGTGGAGGAAAAGTGGGTATAAGTAAATCTATTCTTAAGAAGAAATAATAATACCCTTTCATAAAATTTATTGTTTCCTTTTAAGAATAGGTTTAACTATGCCCCGTTTTCCTTCAGCCTTTCCCCCCTTTTTTATTGTTGCTTTTTCAGATTCTGATTAGTTCATGTGCAGCTTGGTTTATTCCTGGGTTTGCATGCACCCTCTTCCTCTAGCACATGGAACAGAAATCAAAGGCTTCCTAGTTTGAAAGAACCACAGTTTGTTGAAGCATCCCATTTTGAACTGTTCACAGGAAAGAGGCACTTGAACCAATTTAGTTTAGAACCAATCCTCATTTACTTTCCTGATTTGTAGGCAAGAAACCAATCACAGTTCATTAAAGTACTTGATTTGAATGTTAAAGCGTGTGGATTTTCCCCAAAACCAGGTTATCTTCAGTCTCAGCCAGCGCTCTCTCCTGGAAGGGGGGGGGGGGGGGGAGTGATGGAAGACGAGAGCCCAAAAAGTTCACCAGGCTCTTATTCTGTCAGCCTAGAAGTATTAAGAACAACTAGGATACCTGGCTCTTTTACTCCTGTAACGGTAATTAAATTTGAACTTTCACTGGCTTGTGATGTTTCTGGCATAGAAGCGTGAACAAACAGTGCTCCTCAGGGAATCAAATTACTGTGATCTCAGAGAGTGATGCTCAGTTTGAATTTTGATTACTCATCAACCTTGGGATTTGTTTAAGAGAATGCCATGTGAAATAAATGCTTCAATATTTCTAATGTTACAGTGAATTCTAAAACAAGCAACATCAGAGCTAACTTTGAAAATCTAGCTAAAGAAAAGGAACAGGAAGATCGAAAGAAGGCAGAACTTGAAAGAGCTCAAAGAATGGCCCGAGAGAAAGAAGAACAAGAAGAAGCTAGGAAGAAGCTAGAAGTTAGTAAAAAAAATTTGTTTTTTCCTCTCCGAAACTTTTGACTGAACTACAGTGTTCATAGACAGATTGCAGAGCTTGGGTGCAGTTTAACAATTTATAAAAACCAGGCCTCTTGTCTATTGTGAGAGGTTTGTCAGCATCTTTAAATTCTACCTAGTGCTAGAATTAATCTCTAAGTGCCAGTTCATCTAAGACTGACAGTAAGAGGGAACAGGTTGTTTTGAGGTTGTCATGTGCCTAGAATCCTTACTTCCAGGATGTTTCCCCAGTATATGTAGTAATGAGTGATCTTTGGAAGAAGAAAATATTTAATGTGCTCCAAAAATGTGTAAAAGAGGCCACCTGGCTTTCCGTGTTTGTGTAACTGAACTGATGAGACAAGATACTAGTGAAAATGAGTTCACATTTATTTATTGGAATCCTAATATCTAGGCCAAAGTGTTCTAATACTAGGTTACAAGACTGACCTAAATGAGCTATCTTCCCTCATGTGGTCTGACTCTACCACAGAAGATCTGGACTAGGCGTTACAAGCTGTGGCTGGATGGCTTAGACTGAGCCGACTGGAATTGAATCCGACAAAGATGGAGGTCCTGTGCCTAGGTCGGGATGGGCCAAGGGTAGGGCTCCCACTCCCGACCTTCGATGGGGCACCGTTGGTGTCAGTGCCGGAGGTGAGGAGCTTGGGAGTGCTCTTGGATGCATCCTTAACAATGGAGGCCCAGGTAGCAGCCACTGCCAAGTCAGCCTTTTATCATCTCCAGCTGATTAGGCAGTTGGTTTCCTTCCTCGAACGCAATGACTTGGCAACAGCTATCCACGCAATGGTCACTTTGAGACTAGACTACTGTAATGCTCTCTACATGGGGCTGCCCTTGCTACAGATCCAGAAGCTACAGCTAGCGCAAAATGCAGTGGCTAGGCTTTTGATGGGTCTCCCTATGTGGGAACACATCCAGCCTGTGCTGAAAGCATTGCACTGGCTACCAATTACATACTGAATCTGCTTCAAGGTGCTGCTTTTTACCTTTAAAGCACTTAATGGTCAGGGGTTGACGTACCGAATTTCCCCACACATTTCCCCAGAGAGCACTGCGGTCAGGGTCCCAACATCGATTGACCCTCCCGGGACCTAAAGACGCCAGGCTGGCTATAACTAGGGCCAGAGCCTTTTTGGTGGCAGCTCCATACTGGTGGAATGAGCTCCCAGAAGTGATCAGGGCCCTACGGGACCTTATGCAGTTCCTCAGGGCCTTCAAGACGGAGTTCTTCCATCAGGCCTTCAACTAGGAGCTGCCCCCCCTCCCCAATAATTAATTGTGAGCCCTGTCCTCCAGAACTATCGTCAACAGCCTGAGCTGGCCACATAAGGAGAAACAGAATGAGGGGCGGGTCAATAGAATAGGACATCAATTGCTGCCGTTGTTGCCAAATATTGTTAGCATTAATTTTGCCAGACTAGTTGTACTAGCAATTTACATAGTCTGGATTGTTTTAGATGGTTTTATATGATTTTTTAATGGTTATTTATGTGTTTTAATTTTTGTAAGCTGCTTTGAGCCTGCCCCGGTGGGGAGGGCAGGGTATAGATTAAAGAAATAAAATGTGTTTTTTAAATGGAGACTAAATCAAAACAGTATAGCCTTCCATTGTATCTGCACTGAAATAACACATGAAGCTGCCTTGAATCAGACTGTTTCTCCATAAGGTCAGTATTGTCTATTCAGACTGACAGTAAGTCTCCATAGTCTCAGGCAGAGGTCTCCTATTACCTTATCCTTTTAACTGGAGATGCCAGTAATTGAACCTGGAACCTTCTGCATATCAAGCAGATGCTCTGCCACTGAGCCACAGCCACTTCCAGGACACTTCAAAACCCCCTTTTTAGAACATGTAAGCCTGGTTAAGGATATCACTGAAATTCCTATTTCAGTGGCAGATTTTGGGTTCCATTTTGGGTGAATCCCAGATAAACTAGGCTTCGTAGAATTCTTCAAAACATCCAACAGACTCTAAAATGTTTCTTGATTGGATTAGGTTCTGCTGATGTGTCCTTTGACTTTTAGGACTTAACTCAATATGGGGTGTGCTAGAGACCTTATGGCCTTCTGACCTGAATTTTTTGAGTAAAATCTAGCTAATTTCAGAATCACTTCTGGAATTACATCTGAAACCCTAGTGGAATTGTGTTTTTTTTTTGTAAACAAATTTCTATTTTCTTAGGAACATAACATATAAGATTAAATCATTCAGTCCATTGTTTACCTCATTCCCTTCCTCCCCTCCCTCCAGTGGCTTCCCGCAATGCTTCTCCCCCTTCTTACAAATTTCATTATATCATTAACACATCATTTGTTATCATCCAACCTCAAGATAACATCATTTGACTTAATATTGATCTAAACATATTAAGTTTTGTTTTACATCCCAGTTCTTTTCCAGATATATTTTAAAGTCATTCCATTCTTGAAAAAACACGTTGTCTTCTTGATTATTCAACTTCTTTGTAATTTTATCCATTTCTGCCATGAACAGAACTTTTTGTATCCAGTCTTCGATTTCTGGTACTTTCTCAGTCTTCCAAAATTGTGCATAAATCATCCTCGCTGTTGTAATAAGGTACCAGAATAAAGTCCTTTTAGTCGAGTTAACTTCTTCCATTTTTAGTCCCAAAAGCAGAATTTCAGGCGCTTTCTTGAAAGAGCACTTAAGTATTTTTTGCATTTCTTTGTGGACTTTTGTCCAAAAGAGTGTAGCTTTTTCACAAGTCCACCACATATGGTAAAATGAGCCCTCATGTTTTTTACATTTCCAACATTTATTTGACATATTCTGGTTCATATTTGCAATTTTCTTTGGGGTCATATACCACCTATACATCATTTTGTAACAATTCTCTCTAACATTGGTACAGGGTGATATCTTAATAGCATTTTTCCACAAATATTCCCAGGTTTCTATGTCAATTTCCTTGTTCATATTTATTGCCCATTTTAACATTTGCTCTTTCACAGTCTCATCTTCTGTATACCATTTTAACAACACTTTATACATTTTAGAGATATCTTTTCCCCCTCCACACTCCCATACCTTTTCCATTTCATTTTTTTCCTCTCTAAAACCATAATTTCTTTTGTCTGACCTAAAAAGGTCAGAGATTTGCATGTATTTCAACCATTCATATTCATATTCAATTTCATTCTGCTTTTTCATTACCCATTCTGTTCCCTCTTTTTTTATTATGTCTTTATACAGCAACCAATCTTTGTCTCTACGTCTTGAGTAAGATGTTAACACTTCCACTGGTACAATCCAAAGTGGCCTTACATCACCAAAATATTTTTTATATTTTATATATTTTTTATATCGCATCCATACCACAAATAATGCTTTTCTTACCACATGATGCTTTAAAAAAGCTATCCATTTTTGTTTTGTCATACCATAAATATGCATGCCAACCAAATCTACAATCATGACCTTCTAACCCCAATAGCTTATCATTTTCTAATTTCACCCATTGCTTCAACCAGGTCATACAAACCGCTTCATAATATAATCTGAGATTTGGTAGCTGTAGTCCACCTCTGTCCTTGGCATCACTTCTGGAATTACATCTGAAACCCTAGTGGAATTGTTATGCATGTCAGGAGGGTATTGTGGTTTTTAATTGGGCTTGTTCGATCCAATTCAGCCCCTGTAATTTTGGAAAGTGGCTGACTTGGGTGGAGTTTCCTGTTCTTGTTAGTTGTGTTCTGAGACAATAGTTATGCTTAAGGCCTGCTGAGTTTTATTTTACCACTACCAGACATTGTAGGGAATACAAGCTGAGAAGACGGATTCCAGAATCCCTTTCTAAAAGCCAATGTTATCCTAATGCAAAATGTCTTAGTTCTGTTAGCCCAGTAATAACTCATTTTTGCAAAATACCACCTGAGTTACCAAATTGGTCAACATGCTCTTGTAAAGCACTTCTATGTGGAGAATGGGAAAGGTGGGGAAGCAGTATACAGGCATGTGGAAAGAAGTATCACTTCATCCGTGCACTGTGCAGTCCATTCAGACTAAGCTTTCTGATTACTTGGCCAGTAAAAGAGCCATCAGTGCGCAAGCTGTTCCATAGCTGCACTTAGTTAAATGCATTTACAGTGTTAAATCTAATCCAATCCAAAACACTTTTTTCACTCTGACTGCCCCCTGATTTCTTATTTATGGTTGACTCCTGGGCTTCACGCTGATAAAAGATAATTTCATGCCCCAGTCACATAGTAGTTTAAGATGTGCTCTTCTGTCACCTAGGAGAAATCCTGCTTTCTGTAATGGACGTGTTCATTTACTTCACTTTCATACTTTGTTTAAATGTTACTGATGGTTTGAACTTATGCACTTTCTTGCTTCTGAGAGCACATTCTGTTGCCTCTCTAGACGCCAACCTGTTCTGTGCTAGCAGAGTGCTCAAAGGGTCAAGTGACAGTTTCCTTTGCCTGTGACAAACAATCTTGCCATTACTTCCTGATCAAGCCTGATAGGACCAAGCAATTGTCCATGAAGATTTGAGGTTGCTGTTTGTTTGAGTTGTTCAGAGAGAAACTATGGCTCTGTTGGGAGACCAAAACTAGAAACTGCAGATTGATGTGCACACAATGGTTGTCTTAGCTATGGGGAAGCCTGGGCAGTTGCCCAGGGCCCCATGGTGTGGGGGGAGCAATGGCTAAGGGGAGTAGGTGACTATATAGCCAGGCCATACCACACAGCTGTCCTCTCACAGCTGGCCAACACCATGCATGAAGGCGGGACAGATGCTGGACTAGCTTGCCCACTTGCTTTGCTCAGCCAGTTCCACCTTGGGCAGCAGAGCAAGAGAGTTGTGCTGCACATCCACCCATACCTTCTTGTTACTGGCTGATGCCTGCAGCTCCATGGGCCAAGCACGATAGAGAGGCAGCTGTGTAGATCCTGCCTCTTAGCTTCACTTCTTGGGGTAATGGATGGTTGGCCA